ACTATATATCTAATACAAAATAACGAATCATTTGCCACCACACTACATATCACCACATACCATATAGTCAGGCCTGAGCTACCATACAGTACAATACTTATGAGTCCTCCATTGTAGAGGTCTTAAGTAGGGTGGGGCAGAATTACAGTAATTATCAAGGGCAGTTCTTGGAGTGTCAGTTAGTTACAGTATATTACTCGTCTGCAATTCACCCTCACAATTATATAATAGGTTACATCATCAGTTAGCTTTCAAAAGCCTGTAAAATATGTTTTCCTGTGGGTGGCTTCTAGGTCTGTACAGACAGGCCCTGCTTTCTAACATCAGTTTGATTGGTATTAGATATATATTAGAGAAGGGTAAAATGTAGCCTAATGCCAGGAAAACAACATATTCCAGTTTTACCGCAATACAGTAGACACTGAGTTGTAATGATGATGTAATTTCCTGTTTTTCAAATCTTAAACAGTCCTCTCGTATCTGATCATTTTACATGAGTCTTCTTCTGCGGGAATACTCTGCCAATGGAATAGATAAATGTACGAACTAGTCCTTCACTTTTGTTGTCTTGCTGAAAATTGACTATCCTTTGTAAGAGTTAGACTGTACCTTCGACAAATGAGAAAGTTGTTGCTGTAAGCACTTTACATGTGATTATATTCAAGGCATTTCAATGGGCTTTTCTACTTGAGTGGTGGTGGTTTGACTAATTTTACAAATGGATTGGTGCCCATTGTACGGCTTAAACACAAAAAGGTCTGTTTCAATGCTGATAATTCAGCTTGGCTCTTAGAACACTGTATATAAATCTCCAATGCGCTCTGTATATAATTTAGCAGTTATTTATTTTCTCAGTCAGTTTTCAGTATATTAGTGCAAAACAAATCCCTATACCATCAATATTGTACAGACAGACAATCAATTTTCCGTTCCTTTTTTTTTCTCTCAGCATTCATTGACATCTCCAACCAAGCTTGTCTTTGCAAACGAGTTGTTTGTGTGAGCAGTTTTTAATCTCTTTGTGGCAGTCTCTCTCACACAGTTACACGGTCAAAGCTGTTTGGCTCTTGGGTGTGGCACCGGAACTCTTCATGGGGTGAGATGGGAGCTAGAATGTCCCTAGAGAAAAGAGACTCTCTTTCACTTGTTTCCCTTCCCAGATACAGCTCTGTCTTACTGATGGGTTAGAATGGTACCAACTGACTTGGGCTGTGGTGCAGCAACTCCAGACACACAACGTTTGTAAGGTTTAATAACATCTCTCTTTGTGTGACCAGCAAACTTCATGGATTAATAAATGAAATGCTACTCTACCAACCTCCCACCGCCAACTTGCTACCGTGGGAGTCTGTATATCACCTGTGCCATGCTCATCACATGTACTGCTGTGGGAATCAAAGCCCATGTGGGTACACGTACACCAGTCTGCATGTTTGACCTGAGAATGGGTGTTTGTTTGGCACCAGCTGGTGCTGTTTGCCATGTTGTAGAAATATGCCTTGGCCAAACAGATGAATAAATATGCCTACAACGATAACACGGGGTTGCTGCCCTTCCCTGATAAAACACAACATCCATTTCCAGGGTCATCGAGCCAGGGAGGTAAATCCTCTATTTTTCAGTGGTGTTGAAGACCACTGTTTGGTCCACATTTTCCCCATCCCACAAGGCTGTTTCTGGGTAGGGGAGAGAGCGGTGAGCTAGTCTCAGATTAGTAGATATTTCTCTTTGTAATGATTTCTGTGCCCAGTGGCTATATTGCATCAGTGACTTGTGCCCTGCAGAACCTTTTGCTTGGTCTGAATTAAATAGTAGAAAAAAATATATGA